CTGTACTTCAGCCTCTCTCTCTAGCCCAAGAGAGCAGGGAAACTTCCATTCATCCCCCAGTCCAGCCGACTGTGGAGTGGCTGAATTTCTGCTGCCTCCCAGGGACAAAGACTGCCTTGGGACAGTCCCTGTTTTCCCGTCCTTTTCTGCCTTGGGGCAGCTGGGAACTGTAGTGCAGCAGATGAGAAAGCCCCATTCAACCCAGTGAGTGATACTCTTGCAGGCCCCTCTCTGAAATTACAGTTCAATTAAACTTTATGGAGGAACATTTTAAACAAAGAACCACAGCCGTCTTACAAACATAGATAACTGCCATTTCATGACACCTACCAACAGCCACTGAGGGGAAACTTAGTCTCACACAGAAGGAAAGCAGGAAAAGCGTCTTTGTCAAGAGAGAAAGCTGTTTCCCAATAATTCTGACAGAACACAGTGGCTGAAGGGGGAGTGGGCAGGGAAGAGGAACAGACCTAGCACCCGGCCAATGGCATGTGAGTACTTTTGAGCGGCAGCTGACGGGCCAATGTCTGAGGGAGCACATGGAATGTTGCCACTTGAAATCAGCTTTATGATATAGGAGAGATTATTGGGTGAGTGGGTCATGATATAGCTAGAGAATCACAGTGCATAACACTAAATACACAATACACATTTAAAATAGTGATAGTAACACTGAAGAATTCTCCTTACAGTGTGATGAGAAGTATGGGAGGAGTTGCTAGCCTGTTGTAGTTGGCACAGTGAATGCACCGTGACCTCTGGAGAAGGAAACCTCTTTGGACCTTGCTTGTCACTTTCTGTGCATCTGAGTTCTAACAAACTTTCCCTTTAACCCTTAGGTTGTGTATTTCACAGCAACCTTCCCGTATGTGGTGCTGACAATTTTATTTGTGCGGGGAATAACCCTTGAAGGAGCTGTTACTGGAATCATGTACTATCTAACACCTCAGTGGGACAAAATCCTTGATGGAAAGGTATTTGTGCAGAATGTCTCAGCAGATTGGGCTGGGTGCCCCAGGGCCACCAGCCTTGGGGTATCACAGCTGCACCATTGCCCTCCCAACTACCCTTGCTTTGGGAGTTCTGGGCTGGTCTAAGATGGGCCAACAATGAGGTGGTAACCCCTTTTCCTCATCAATGTCTTTGTCTTTGACAGGTATGGGGAGATGCAGCCTCTCAGATCTTCTATTCATTGGGCTGTGCCTGGGGTGGGTTGATCACTATGGCATCATATAACAAGTTCCACAACAACTGCTACAGGTAAGACATTATATAAGCAGCAGGGCAGGGAGGATGTAGAGAGAATGTTTGGGGGGGCATAGTTCTCATCAAGGTGAGTACAGAGGAAATAACGACAGAATACAGAAGTCTTGATCTATGACTCCTAAAGTGCAGTCCCTCTGAGTTTGTGGGATTTACTACTTATATTTACACTGTTCTCTAAAACCATGAGGGCTGCAAACTTTCTTTTTAGAGCAAAGCTAGGGGCTTGCAACCAGGATCTTAGCTAGACTGATCAGGCATTTGCACAGAGTTCAGTAAGGTGGATTAATGATTCCTTATATATACTTCAAACTTCATTTTTGTACTTGTTGTCAGTTGAAGAGAAATAAAAGACCATCATCCTAATCCTTTTTTAAAAAATTAAAAATAAATGTTATACATTTTTGTTTGCTTCCTTTCCTCCAAAGAATTTGAGACAGAGGTCATTTCGGGGGGGAACGCGGGGGAATGCAGTTCCCCCGGGTGAGGTGCAGGGGGGCGGGGCACATGACAAAGCCCCGCCCCCTGCTTCCAGCCGCCCCGCTTCCAGCCCTCATTCAGCCAGGAGGAGGCAGGAGAAGAGGGAGGGTAAGTTGCTTCCTCCCCGCCTCTCCCCACCCCTGCCTGCCTGGGGCCAGGGAGGGCCTTCGCGGGGCTTCCTCGCACTCCCGCTGGCCTTGCAGGTCCACCGGCGGGCCCCTGATGTCAGGGGGTGTGGCATATGCTAATGAGTTATACTAATGAGTACCCCTAGCTCTTTTTCTACGAAATGACCCCTGATTTGAGAGCTGTATACATAGGGTTCCCAGATGTTACACATAGCTTTAGAAAGCTGTATGAGGCACTTTGAGACTATTCTTCAGAGTTGTCCTTGTTCATTCAGTGACTATTCATTGCAAAAACAGTACAGATCTGTTTACTTCTCACCGCTTCCAATTCTCATCATTTGACATATTCTTTTTCTCTCCCTCCCTCACTTTCCCTCATCCCCTTTCCTTGATTTCTCATGACATGGTATACCCCCCTACTTCCTACAGGGACAGCATCATCATCAGCATCACAAACTGTGCCACGAGTGTCTATGCAGGCTTTGTCATCTTCTCCATCCTGGGCTTCATGGCCAACCACCTAGGTGTGGATGTCTCCAAGGTGGCCGACCACGGTCCTGGCCTGGCTTTTGTAGCCTACCCCGAGGCACTGACACTTCTTCCTATTTCCCCTCTCTGGTCTATACTCTTCTTTTTCATGCTCATCCTGTTGGGACTGGGCACACAGGTAACTATGGAAATGTGCACATAGGAGATGTGGGGTGGGTGACCAAAAGAACAAACATGAGAACTGAACGCTTTTGCAGTGTGGCCGGGCATGCAAGCAGGCATGTTTGGCAGAGACAGAGAAAGCTAAAGGCTGGGCCATAAGTATTGCCCTCAATGGGTATGTGGCGTCTCAGTGTGAAGATGGATGTACCAGTAGATATTGTGTATATGTGTGTGTGTGTGTGTGTGTGTGTGTGTGCGTGTGCTAATGGGAGACTAGCATGCATTTAGGACTCAGGGGATTAGCAAGCAGGGACTTCCCATACTTGGTTCATAGAGCCCTTGGGAAGGATGAGTGAATGGCACCAGAGAAGAGGAAACACTGGGTGATGGAAGCTTCAAGGGCCTCTGGAAATCTGAGGGGGTCATCCCATGTTGAATGGTTACACCCCTTCCAGGCTGAGCAAAAGAAGGCCAGTAAGTCAATACAAAGTGAGTCAAAGTGGTGCTCTGAGACCAAGGACTTAACACCCAGTTTCTCCCAAGGAGTAAAAGAGCCAGCCTTACCACTAGCTAGACCACTGTTTAAGCAATGCACCTGGAGCAGATAAAAATGGAGGAGACAATGTTGATCCTAATGTTGAAGGAAGAGGGATGGAGAGATTACAGCCAACTCAGCAATCTCATGTCTTGTTTCCCTTTGATGTGTTCTCTCCTCAGTTTTGCCTCCTGGAGACTCTAGTTACAGCTGTTGTGGATGAAGTGGGAAACGACTGGATCATCCGCCGGAAAACCTTTGTGACACTGGGTGTGGCTGTGGTGGGCTTCCTGCTGGGTGTTCCACTCATCACACAGGTAGGGGGCGTGGGGAGCAGGGCACGGCTGTGAGAATCTTCTGCGGGCAGGGCAGTGAGGGTGGACGCAGAGGTGGGTTTAGTAAGAGGTAAAAATTACTTCTGTAAGCTGAGGGGACTTGGGCTAACCACTACTGACCACTTTCCTCCCCCCTCCCCAGGCTGGCATCTACTGGCTGTTACTGATGGACAACTATGCAGCAAGCTTCTCTCTAGTTGTCATTTCATGTATCATGTGTGTCTCTATCATGTACGTCTATGGTAAGTACTCTGCCTGTTGCATGGTCATGTCTAATTGGCAGCCAGTCATTTGCTGCCTCATTCAGGGGCTAAGCAAGGTAGAGTCCACATGACCTTTCTCCCTTTCAGAAATGTAGTCAGAATAGGGCTGGACTGTGATTGCCTGGAGAGGCTGAAATCAGGTTACAATTCAGAAGGGAAGCACGCAATACAGGGCTGGCATTGGCATTTCCTGAGAAGGGAGAGCTGCCACGGCTTCTGGTGGGGCCCACTGCTGCTGACTCCCTATTCACACATCTCCTCTGGTGCCTGAACTCACATCCTTCCACTGCCACATGTGCTCCCAGCTACATGTGCTGCCTAGTGCTGCTAGAGAAAGGCATCTGGGTGGTGCATAAAGCATCAGCATTCCTGGTTGCCGTGGCACTCCTCGCTGCACCCACCACTATCAGGGGAAAGGTATGCAGGCAGTGTGGACGGCTATTATACCAGGTGGTGAGGAGAGCTTGCAAGCCAGCAGGAGAACGATGTGGGAGCAAGTGGGTGAGTGGGCAAGAAAAAGGGCAGGGTAGTGGGCATAAGGGGCCTTCTGGACACTCTCTACCTAGAGCCCTCTCAAAATCTGGAACTGGCCCTGGTCTAATAGACAGAACCTCTCATTACAATTCAAGACTGCCAGGTTTCTGCCTGCAATGGGACTGAGGGCCATACAGGACAGGAGGGCAGAATTCTGTGATTTAAGTGCCTGTGTCTTTGATTTTTGCTAAACAGCAAAGGAAAGCAAACAATTTTCATTCTGGCCCTTTCCCAAATGAAAATTGTTCCTCTGGAAAAGCTCCCCTGTGGGGGGAAAACATACTGGAAAATGTAAGTTTTCCCTAGCCAGACAGATGAAGCCTCCAGAGTAGCTGAGCTGACATAATCAGAAAAAAACATGTGAGGAGGAAAGAGATTGTAAAAGGTCCTCACCCAGCACCCTTGTCCTCTCTCCCCTCTGGCTGAAATTTAGCAATGTTTAAAGAGATGTGAAAACCATCATGTATCTCCACTGTCTTGCCTAGTTTAGTCCTAAGAGCAAAATCCCCTGTATTTATTAAAAAGGGGAATCAGTTAAGTGGACATGCATATTTCTGAGTTGCATCCCAAAATTCAGAAAGGAGAGAAGGTTAGGGTGGGTGGGGGCCTGGGAATCAGCAAGCTGTGCTCATTCTTCATTTGCACAACTTAGTTTCTCCAGCACTGATGTCACTCATGTTTCCTATTGACTCCCAAAGCCATGTAGGGTGAATAGTACTCAGGCAGAGTGTTCTGTTGCCATGTCCACTCTGCTGATCGGTCGTTCTTTGCCTCCACCCAGGGCACCGGAACTACTTCAAGGACATTGAGATGATGCTGGGTTTCCCACCCCCCATCTTCTTTCAGATCTGCTGGAGGTTCATCTCTCCTGCTATCATCTTTGTGAGTGTGGGGAAGGGAGAGCTTCCTGGGGCAAGTATGGGGCTAGTCATCTGAATGGCAGTAGGGAAGAGAGGTGAATGAAAGCACAATAGAAGTGGGCGGGGAAGTTACAGGGAAACGTCAACCTGCTTGCCGGCAACAGAGAGCAAGAGTGAGAGTCTCACATAGTGGGGGAAGTGGATGGACATGAGGATGTGGAGCTGAAGGAGGAGGCTGGGTTGCTGCAGGCTTTGTTGCTATTAGTCTTTTTTCTCTCCTCTCCCAGTTTATCCTCGTGTTCACAGTGATCCAGTATCGACCCATCACCTATAATACATACATCTATCCCGGCTGGGCCATCACCATTGGCTTCCTCATGGCACTGTCCTCAGTAATCTGCATTCCAATCTATGCCGTGTTCTGTATCCTGCGCTCAGAAGGGGACTCGCTGCTGCAGGTGAGGCTGTGTGAGGGTGGGGGAAATACGACAGCCCCGTGGGTCTGAAGGGCACAGCATGAGCCTCCCAGTGGTGGGCAGGATGGCCACAACCCTTATCTTCTGTCATACTTTCTGTCTTTTCAGCGTGTGAAAAATGCCACCCGGCCAAGCCGTGAGTGGGGCCCAGCCCTTGCAGAGCACCGAAGCGGCCGTTATGCATCAGTGCTCAGCCCCTCTATAGAGTCCCAGCTGGAGGTGCAGTTGCTGAACCCTGAAAAACCCAAGAGTGATGAAGCTGGCGTGGCTGTTGCCATCAGTGTTGGAAGCAATGGCTCTACCCACAGCCAGGACTCCAAGATCTGAACCTTAGCCTGGGAGGCAGGGCAGGGAGCCCTCCTTGCGCCTCCCCTTTTCCCATCTGCCCTGGTCCTCCGAACCCTACTCTGCTCAGATACACTACAGCGCCCCCCACTGGGTGGGGGAGCCCTGGCTCCCAGGCTGTGCCGGACTCTGGAGGGGTGGCTGTGCATTCCCACCCCACCCACCTCATTAGTGCCCCTGTGCCATCTTGTAACCTTCATGTTTACAGTAATGTTCAGAGGGCCCCAATTCACAGCCAGGACCAGGGGTCAGAAAGGGGGAGGGTGTGTACTGGCTGAATAGTTGGGATGCCTTAAAAGGGTACCAGGAGGAGGGTAGGCTGGTGCCGCAGTGGGTCAGCAGCCCCTTTTGGGGTGGTTTCTGGCAGCTGCACCTAGGCCCAGGGGATCTGGAATCCATTGGGGACAGCATGCCCCTTACTGCCCTGGATCAGGGCCATGGGGACTGGCCCCAAGAGAAATGAATGGGAAACTGGGGGGGGGGGGATAGGGCAAGAGGTTTGGGCAGTAGCTGTAAATGTAATCCCGACATTCTTGGCAAAGCTTGGCCTTGGGCTAGGCAGTTGTTGTCCCATGTGTGAGTTCTTCCAGAAGATGCATTGAAGACTGCTCATCACCCACAACTGCACATACCTTCCCAGCTTCTTCACCTATCTTATTTCTCAAACAGGTGAGGTAGCTCCCCCATCCTTATCAATATGCACTTCTAGTCATGGTGCCCAGCAAAAGAGATACTCTTGCTAGAAACTATTTAATAGGTTTAACAGATGAACAACTGGAGGGCAGCATGGGTGAGACATCCCTCCCAGGGAGTAGGTGGGAGCATTGTAAGTCAGGCACATGCTCGTATTTCAATCTAACCTAACCTAGTTTGCATGCATATGTGTGGATGCAGCACACATACAATCTCACATGCACACACATCCAGAACTACGAACCCATGTTTAGTTTTTAAACACGCACCATCTCGCACACATACATGCACACCAAGCATCTATATGCACCATGTGACCGTGATACAAATCCAGAGCAGTATCATATGTGCTGGGCAACATGTGCAAGCCAATGCACCAGTACTCCTACAGCATCTTCTGAGTGCTCATCCAAGCCCATTATTCTTGAAACTGACCCTGGGGACCTGACTCTTGAGCCCTGTGGTGGGTAGGAAGGGTTTTCTAAAGCACTGTTTTATGCCCCTCCTCTGAGAGGAGCAATGAACTTGACTGGAGGGGTACTGTACTGGCAAGACCCCATTGGGACCTAGCCCTGCTCCATCCTTTAGGGGAAGGGGCAGAGCCAACCATGGTGCTAAGAACAGATGATGTGCCATGTCCTGTCCACATACCTGGGAGAAGCACAAAAGAAACAAAGCACAACCTTCCTGATAGGCTGTCCCCAGGCAGGCCTGGGCTCCATGCGTCCCACTCCTCCAGTATTAGTGGGGAGGCAGAAACTGCCAGCCCCTTGCCCAAGGTGTGGAGGGGTCGGCCAGAGGCATTGGCCCCATGTCTGGCTGCAAGACCTGACACAAAGCAAGGCCTGTGTTGGCTCAGGTGGGTAGATGTTACTAATGGTTCTGTCTTCCAGCCTCATCTTCCCTGTGTTTTCATTTCAGTGTTGCTGCCTGCACTTTAGCCCTAGAAATGCTGAGTGGAGGGGACAGGAGGCCCTGGTAGTTACTATCCTGTTCTGTACCCTGTGGCAATGCCACTAAGTCACCTTGCAGTGCCAAATGGTGCATGTAGGGGGCACCACTCATCTCTTGATCATGCACGATGGCTGTAGTGTAGCCATGATGCCATTAGCAAGGGCACATCTGGTTTCCTTCCCATGTGGTAACTGTTGTAGCCAGCGCTATTGGCACAGTGGCCAGCCGGTGCTATTGGCACAGTGGCCAGTGATTAAGTGCCAAATGTCTGCATCATGAGCAGACAGAGGGAGGACAGATGGCTCCAGTGCCAGGGTGGTACTTTTGTCCTAAGACTTCAGCACTCAGTCTTTCCCTCCCTCCCCTGCACCAGTGTTCCACTATTTAATGCATGGTTCCATGTCTGTCCTTCCTTCTTATGTCAAGTATGGCAACTGCCATTACCGTCCCTTATTGTTCATAGCAATAATTGTGATGTGTCTCCCATACTGTGACTCTCCCAGATGTAGATTTTTAAAGTCTGATAGATTTTAATGAAATTTATATTCCTGAGCCTAGGATGGTGCAGTCTACTTTGTTGGAATGGGAAAGGGGGGCAGCTCTAAGGGTCATAGGTGCCCCACAATGCTAACACAAAGACCACTGTGGGTTGGGGGTGAGAAGGAGAAAAATCTCAGCCTTTGGGGTGCTTGCAGGAGGATGACCAGTGTTGAAAGGGACTCATTACTGCCCTTCTGCTTTCCTGGAACCCCCAGAACTCCCCTGACCAGTACATGAGGATGAGCCAAAGTAGTAGCGAATAAACCCCGGAAACAACAGAACAAGCTGCCCTTAGCAAAGTGCATCACGGGAGGAGAACATGAGCGGTGAAAGGGGAGAGGGTGATCTCGTTTCCCTAGCTGGGCCCTTTGCATCGCAGCAGCCTGGTACGGGGGCACAAGCGTGGCAGTGGACAGGGCTCTGGGGGAGGTGCTGGGTGGAAGGCAGGGACCACCCCTGCTACTGCTATCCTGCAGGCTGAAATGAGTCTACTTCCCTTGGGTGGTGCTGCAGCCCCAGGGCTGTGAAAATGAGTGTCCTTTTCTTTCCATGCTTGCCCGAGTTCTTCTTGCTGCAGCCGTCCCTGCAGGCCTTTTACTGAGTGGCTTCTCCAAGGAAGCGTCTGATGGGATACAGAAGTAGTTTGATTTCTGGGACTCGGTGAAGAAGCAGGGGTGGTCTCCTCAAAGTCTGGCCCTTTGGTAGTACCTTCCAAATGGCTGCAGAATAAAGGGAGGGGGGTTAGCAGGAAGCTGCTGGCATTGCCCAAACATTGCTCTTACCTAAAAGCCAAAAGGAGAGCAGCCTCAGACACTGCCACAGAGCTAATGGGTCCCCAGTTGATCCTGTACAGAATGAACTCCATCAGCCTTAGTTTAATCTGGCAGGAATGCTGGACACCCTACAAGGATTAACTGGTTCTGAACCACAACTGCCACCTTTAGTCCCCAGATTCCTTCTAGCTCCGCAGATGCCCCACAGTGGTCACCTTGCTTTTAAGATGTTCCCATCTGACCTAGGCTGAGGCTGGTTGCTGCTCCTCCTCAGCAGCTGTGGCATGAGGGAAAGACCAGGGGACAGCGGAGACTGGCTCAGCTGCAAGTCTCGCTCCATGGCATGCTTCTCCTCTTGCAGTTCTGTGGAGAGAAGTTTGTTTTCAAGATGATGCCTGCAGGCACAATGAAATGGTTCCCTTTCCTCCTCCTCTTATCCTGGACACGAAGCCAGGGCTCTGCATACCAGCCATGGTGGGCTCATGCGTCGTCTCTAGCAACTGTGCAGCCTGGTAATGCGCCTTTTCCAGCTGACACTGTGGAACAAGGAAACAGTCAAAACCAAAAGGAAGGAGAATGCTGAGGAAGACACTTTCAGTTTTCCCAGAGATGTACAGAGAATCCTCCCCATATGGAATACTTTATTTTGCTTCCCAGTCTTCTGGCCATTCTAGTCAATGCAGAAGGCCAGCAAGGATAGGACAACAAAGTATGCAGGTTGTTTGGTTGAAGACACCAGTTTGTAGTTTCACTGAAAATTAAAGTATGCCAAATCTGCTGCTACCACAAGCAATTCTGGCACAATTCACCAGCTTCTGGAATTACTGGCCTAGCGTTGCAAAGCAGAGCGGGACAAGCAGAGGCCCAGGGAGTGGGACTCTTGCAGCTCAGCATAGAACTGTTATTCCCCCCCCCCCGGGGGGTGCCCAGCTTTCCTGCCACTCACGTCTCTCTCCTAACCACCACCCCCCACTCGGTTCTGGGAATAAGGGTCACACCAACTACTAGCAACAGATGGAGCTGGGATGACAACAGTGTCAGCCCCCCCCCCCCCTTTGAAGAATTCAAGTCCACCCAACCTATTTTCTAAGCCAGCAGACAGGCTGGCCCTGGGACCACCTGTGAGTTATTCACAGACCAATTTGTGGTTGGGGAAGGGAGAAATACTGGATGAAGAAGGATGTGATAGAAGGCCTGAGGCAAAGTGCAAACTGGTCTCACAGCCTCCAGAAGCAGACTCTTGCCTTGTCCCTTGAAAGTGCACGTGACCGATGCGGCATGTGGGAGGAGCTTGTCTGCAGAGGCCTTACTTGGGACGGGAGGGATTCAAACCCTACCTGTAAATGAGAGATGCACTTTTCCAAAGCAGAGCATTCGTCTTCCAGCAGGGTCCTAGAAGAAATGGGATTGCCTATGAAAGCCATTGGGTGTGAGAGGCTCATGGCAGAAAGCAAATGCCAACTTTGTCAATTTATAAAGACAGTGTGCTCTGCTTACGTGTTGTTTACCACCCCAGTACAGGGGTGTGGCAATTCAAAAATTAATTAGGAGAGAGGGTGTCCACCACCTCTTTACAGGAGCAGTTATCTGTGCTTGGGAGGAAATGTTCTGGCCCACTTTTAAAGTACTTCAGAAGAAGACTCTTCCTGTGCAAAAGACACAACTACTGACACTTTTGAAATACTTCAGCATACACTCTGCTGGGATCCCAATTCAGACTTTCTCAATTTGCTGGCTGGCAAAGTGTCTCTAGGAAGTCTTGGGTCTACAAAAAGCAACTATGATACCTATGCAGGATGCTCAGTTGCACAGTGTGGAAGAACAGCAACAAATCCTCTCTTGAGACTCTGCAGGGACCCAAGGACTCTGCACCCAGGCCATGCACAGGGTTCCCACGCCACTCTCAACTGCCATACTGCCACATTCTGCTTGGGCCACAGGCTCCCTGACCTAGAAGGCATCTTGTTTTTTAGCCTCACCCTGGGAGGGCACATCCCTCACACTTCAGAATGCTAAGGAGTTGAGAGAGATGCCTCTCCTCTTATACATCCGAGGGTAGGGGATGGGAGGCCACAAACCATGCTTGATCTGGCTCATCCATTGTACCTGCACAGGGCAAGTTATACAGCAGGAACTGTATATGCCCACAGCAAAAAAATACTGGAAAGGGACTCTATGATTCTCCGTGTTTTCATGCCTATGGTACACACCAGGTTGGAAGTAGGGGACAGGTGGGGGAAAAAAGAGGTTGGAATACAAGCTGTCTGAGTTTATTGAGACACATTTTCATGCTCTCATTCCCAGCTCATGGCTTTGGGATGAGTTTACCAGGCTCTGCCGCTAGGTGTCCTGATATATATCCCTCCGCTATCCACATCAGGCACCTGTTAACTTCATACAATTCCTTCCCCCCTACATCATCTGTCTGGAGAAGAAAAAAGTGGAGCAGAAAACAAAGTTGTACAAAACAAAAACTTACCGGAGTCGAAAGGCTACCTCACCAATATGGTTAATATTCAGCTTATTGCAGAGGGGTCCCAGGTCATTGACGGCTCTGGAGGACAGCAGCCTGGGGAAATAGAAATAGGGTGAGCTACAGGCACCAGGCAACCTGAGCGGAACTGGCTGCTCTCTGTAGTCTGACAGACTCAATAGCTGCAACTCGCCATTCCTGCACTAGGCAAACCTTACAAATGGGGCACACCTTAGTATCTAGCTGCAAGACTTACCCAGAAGGAAAGTTTTATTTGAGAGGAAGAAAACATAAAAATCCGGCATATGTGAAAATAAACACAAATGTGTATGCTAACTAACCACTCTTAGCTTTAGCTATCTGGGATAGTTCACAGAAGTGATAAATGTCTTCTCAGGTTGCTCCCTTGGCTTGATAGCTAAAGTCAGCCTGTGCTTCTGTGGCTTACACAATTTTTCAGAAACCTAATTTGCAACCTCCTCAAGGAAAAACACCTCTATTTATAAAATAAAACTCTCATCTCAGATATCAGAACAACTTCCAGGTCTGGTATTTATTGCAAAATGGGGAAAGCAGTGCAAATTAGAAAACAAGTAACTGAATGTGCACATTTGATTCCTGCAGGCCATCAGAAAAAAGGGAGATCAAAGACTGGGAATCAGCTTGGGGGCAAAAATCAATCCAAATCTCCACTACAGATTTGAAAAAAATGGCCAAAAGGATGGGACAGATTGATTAAACTGAAAAGAAGATACACTGGGTGTGAAGTGGCTCAATTATTCATCTCTGCTGCCTGGATGTAGTTCTGTAACTAGTTATTTCTAGGCCCATACCTCAATGGGACTGAAGCAAGAAACAACTACACACAGCAATTACTGGCAAGCCCTGTGGCATCTGTACAAGAGGCAATAATTGGACAGTATTCAGCTGCACCAACCCCACCCCCCAAGAATGAATAATTGTTAGGTTTCAGACTGTCAGTCTTTCCACACACAGAGCAGCCCTGAATTCTGGGGCAGCCTGTGGTGCCGCAAAACCATAGTGCCCAAGGTGTTTTGGAGTAGGGATGTCAGCCCATGGTCACATTCTATGGGCAGTCTTGCTTCCCAAAGACAGAGCTATCCCTAGGCCTTACCAGATGGGGGCACTGCTCCCAGAGGAAGGCTTTCCAATTCCAGCATCTCCCTTCAGAGCAAAGGTGACCACATGGGGGCTGTATTTAGAAATGGCACAGTCTTGGTCCCTGTAATGAGAGAGAAGGCAAGCATGTTGCACCGCCCAGTACAGCAGCCATCTAGTAGCTGGAAGGAATACAAGTCATGCAGACCTCTTCCACCTAAGAGATGAAACAGAGAAGCCCCAAGAGGCTTACTCCCCTCATCCTCTGGAGAGGGTACAGGAGCCGTGGCATGTGCCCATCTCAGTGTAGAGAAAGAGATTGAGGGTAGAATTCTGCTTCTATCAATGCACTAATTCAGGGTGCTCCCTGGGACCAACAGCTTGAAGGATGAGGGGAACCTTTTGGTGGGCACACAGGACTCCACCTTGTGATTAAGATGTTAAAAGGGAAAAAGCCTATCCCCCACTGCCAGTACATTCCACTCCCTGCCCCCACTGAACTTTCCACTGTTTGCAGAAGAGCAAGGCAGGTAGCCAATCCTCTCCAAGGGTTCCTGCAGGGGTTGATCCCTGTTCTCTGATGAACGCTCCTTTTGAACTGTGAGGTGGGGAGGGGCATAATCACAGCCTCAGGCTATGGACTGAGT